CTGGTGCGAATATCTTCGGATCTAGAAGTTTACACTCTTTGGATAAATCTGTAGTTGAAAGAAGAAGTGATGTTGGGAGGAGTGGAAATGAAACTCTCAAGTTTTATTTCGATGACAAGCAACATAACCAACAACATGTAATGCATAATCCAAAGTCTAGCGGTTTACCGAAAAGTCCTATCCGGTTTGAGATTGTTGTTGATAAGTTTAGAGATGATGGAGGTGTTAAAAGATATGATGTACGTAGAGAGTCAAGAGGAAGCTCTACATCACTTCACTGTACATATTAGGTTTGTATAATATTTAAGATTGAATGGGTTTTGATGAAATTTCAGGGGAAGATAAAATCAAGATCATTGATTGAATCTATTTACAAGGAAAAGTAACGTCTAATATGAGCGAAGTTTTGGTGGATTGGTTGCTGGAAGTTGTTGATGAGTACAAATTCCTCTCAGACACTCTTTACCTCACTGTCTCATACATTGACAGTTTCTTTCTGTTAAAATTGTTGATAGGCAAAAGCTTTTGGGAGTTGCTTCGTAAGCATCTTAAACCCTCTTTTGTTGTTTGCATCTCTTTTTCTTGTGGGTATGTTGCTAACATATGTATGTATTGTCTTTATTATTTTCTTGGGTTGAAACTCTCACAAAACGGGAAGCTCCACTGTCAATACATTTATAAGGTTAGAATTTTATGCAAAGAGGTAGCTTTTACTGCAAAACGGCATTCGTCTTCATAGAAAGCTATTAAAACACATTACTGGTCAAGGTTGAATCTTTGGGAAAATCATGTGTCATGTCTTTATCTATGTATCTTAACCTGATGCACCAGCTATGTTTTAAGGTTCCACTCATCTTGTAAATTGTTGCAGGTGATCATGATCGATCCACTTTATTCTGAAATCAAGCTACAAAGGTAACCAAGTACAATGAAACATTACCCTATTATTCACGAGCATTAGAAAGCAAAGAAAGCTCTTATGGATGCTGGTGAATTTTGTTTCGCAGACATTGTCACTTGAACACAATCTTCCATTGCCTAATACAAGTGAGATAGCATGTGTGATGCGTATATTCTGTTAGGACCATTACCATCTCTCGATTTAGAAAAAGAACTACTATGTGTACTTCTCAACTTTTTTCTTTGGTATATGTGTTAGATTTTATCATATATAGAGCTAAAGTATGGTTGTGAGACTTATCCAAGAAATTGGTTTCTATCGGATTAAGCCAAGTGAAAAAGAATGTAGCTCTCTTTCGAAGTCATGAGCCATATTCCTACCTGTGATTATGAAATAATATCATTATTTGTGGTTCAACCCCTTTGAGAATAGTTAAGAGTTTCAAAGAAACTCTATTCCTGAAATTTTTTGTAAGTAGTTATATCATTCTCGG